AACTTTTACATACATTCGGACTTCCATACTACAATGAAACAACTCCTTATTTCCACCGAATGAGATACAGCTCTCTTTCTTGGAAGTTCTCACATCCTGTCTCCAAAATAGGGAGATACACAGTCCCAACAGTCTGTATTCAATACTTCTGAGTTTGCCAGAGTCCCTCAGAATGTACTGTTAACTAAAGACTAAGCTGGTAACGTTAACTTCCGATGACTTACGAAACTTACAAATGAAAATGTGAAGAGAGAGAAAAAGAAAAAAGGTTACTATGTACCAAACCACCATGTATATACAACAGAAAGAAAATATGCAAAACTACTACAATCCTTATTTTTATGATTGGCCACAGGGCTGTTGTAAGAACCATTAAGGATTTTCTAGCTGCTTCATTGCTTCTACACTTATTGGTTGGCATTCTACCGTAAGGGAGGCCTATTTCTTCTCCTCTGTGTACTCATTTATTCATTTATATATTGCTATGGACGAAGGTATTACTTCACTCACTGGGTTATAATCTGTTACTGTCGTGCTTTGTTTTGACGCTCTGCATTTGCTGATGGGAGCCCTCATCAACTGACTCCTAGTCCTTTTGATGTTTCCATCATTCTTTGAGTACTTCCTTACTTTCCAGCACCAGATGTTCTAGAATCATCTTGAAATTTCTCAGCCCCAGTGGTTGATTCATTTCTCCAAGGAACCGTGGTTCCTTTTGTGGAGCATGGTACTGGGAACTCAGTACGTGGGCTGTAAATGTGCTTATTCCTACTGCGGCATCATTGCTTCGAGGCCCTCTCAGCAGACCCAGCTGGGGAATGTGTGTGTGTGTGTGTGTTCGTGTGTATACATACACACGTACACATGTGCACATACACATTTAAGCATATGCATACATTTATGACTCACTTATTTCTATACCTACTTATCTGTTAAAAACCGTGAGTTCAGGGGCGCCTGGATGGCTCAGTCGGTTAAGTGTCTGACTTCGGCTCAGTTCATGTACTCAGATTTGTGAGTTTGAGCCCTGCATCGGGCTGTGTGCTGACAGCTCAGAGCCTGGAGCCTGCTTCAGATTCTGTGTCTTCCTCTCTGCCTCTCCCTGCTCTCTCTCTCTCTCTCAAAAATAAACATTTAAATAAATAAGCATTAAAAAAAAATACAAACAAAAAACTGTGAGTCCATACTTGCTATGGACTGAATTGTGCCCCCCCAAAATTCACATGTTGAAGCTCCAGCCTCCGATATAAGTGTGTTTGGAGTAAGGAAGTAATTAAGGTTAAATGAGGAGTGGAGCCCTGATCTGATAGGATTAGTGCCCTTATAAGAAGAGACACCAGAGAGCTCTCTCTCTTCACCATAGGAGGACACGGTGAGCAGGCTGTTGTCTGCAACCCGGGAAGAGAGCTCTGATCAGAAACTGAATGGCCTGGCACCTTGACTTGCCGTCCACACAACTGTGAGAAAGCAAATTTCTGTTGTTAAACCTCCCCCCAGCCTGTGGTATGTTGTTATGGCAATCCGAGCAGACTAATATAAAACTGACCTTTAATTATAATCTACATTGGTTAGATTAGGTGTGGGTTTTTCGTTTGCTGTGTTTTGTTTTTTACTGCTTCTATATTGTACTATTTGCCTGTAGGACTTTGCTGGTTTTGGTTAAGTTCAGAGAAGAGGGCTGTAGTAAGTTGCCTTGTATAATGTCCTAAGAAGAAGGGTGCTTTTTTAAAAAGTTTAGAAGTACCAGGATCATTTATCAAGAAAAACAGAGTCGGGGTGCCTGGGTGGCCCAGGGGGTTGAGTGTCTGACTCTTGATTTCGGCTCAGGTCGTATCTCAGGGTCGTGGGATCGAGCCCCCGTCAGGCTCTGCACTGAGCTAAGCATAGCATTCTTGGCATTCTTTCTCTCTCTCCCTCCCTCTGCCCCTCTTTCCCCGCTCATACTCTCCACCCACCTCTACAATTTAAAAAAAAATCTTTAAAAAAAGGGAAAGGAAAAACGGAGCTGACTCAAGAGTCACACTACTGCTTGTCAGCTGAGGGTGAACATTCTCTCTGCTCTCCCCAGAACAGGACAGAGAGCAACAAACCCACTGGAGCAAATCTCAACCCCAGTGGGGAAGCATTGGTAAGAGTTGCTTGAACAACTCCTGCAGGACAGAGAGGGAAGGAGTCAAATGCTGGTTTAGTGTCTGTAGCAAGGTTTATATTGAGTGCTGTGACTCCTCACTTCATCGTCACAGCAACAGAGAGACGGGCATGATTATTCCCACTCTATAGATGAGAAAATAGAAAAGTGGAGAGGTTAGGTATTTGCTTAAGGCTGAACAGCTGGAACCCCTTTCCTAGACTCTACTCCCCTAGAAACTAGCACCTTGCTGAGCCATACTGGCGCCCGGGGCAAAAGGAAACATATGCACTCCTATATGCACGTACCGAAATATCCTTCCACATTTTGAGTCAAATGGGAAAAGCTGATGAAAGCCCTACCATCAAAAAACAGGACTACACATAAAGCCTTGTGTTGCCCAATCTGTTCACACACTATTTTCAACCCTCCTAAAGCTAATTGGCAGGGAACGTAATAGTGACCTGCATGGAACTGTGGGCTGATTGGAAATGACTATTCCTGTTGCAAAATGACACCAGGTCATAAAACAAACAACGGTCTGTCTTTATTTTAAGTGCTGATATCTTGTTCACCGTGGATGTTTTACGTTTTGCTTTTTAAAAATACTACATTAAAATATTTATCTGGATTATTTAGTGCCCCCTTAAATACTGCACCCAAGGAGTATTCCTCACTCACCTCACCTTAATCTGATACCTCGTAAAACCGAGTCTTGGCCTGAATTACACCAGGACTCTACTCCTCAGAGCCGACCTTCTCTTCTAAACAGGGCTCTGTCGGGGTGTGGATCCCAGACCCTGCACTCCGGCATGATGTTAGTGCCCTATCTTCTCATCAGAAACACTGAATCATAAAGCTGTAACAACAGAAATGGTTCCATTGTGTGGTAAGCATATGGTCACATGCCTGCCAAAGTGTTTGGAGAGACCAGATATTCTCCACCCAGCCTTAGTCACATCTGACCCAGAAGCCACAAGTTCCCAGTTCCTATCCTGGTAGGCTCATCTGAGCTCCTGGCATCAGGATACAGGGTACAGGCAGTCCCTGGTTCAGAAGCCCAGCCATCCTATTTAGGAGCCCACACAGTCCTCTCTTTAGCCAAGCAGTTGGCTGAAAGGCGTTGCAGCAATCAGCCTTCTATTGGAGACGAACATTGCTGATTTCTTTGTTCTTTTTGCCATTTCCCCAGGTCTTCAGAAGTCAGGGAGACCTAGCTGCCTATTGCTAGGCGCCTTCCTGACCATTTTTGAACCAGTGAGCAAACAACTCCTCATCTTCCAAACAAGTAAACAAGCATTCATGGAGAACCTACCGGGCACTCTGCATCCACACCCGCCCCCTCTAATCCAAGTTCCAACCTATGGCCGAAGTGACCTTCTAAAAACACAAATTTGTCAGGAGGATGAAACGAGCTAACATTTGTAAAGTGCTGACTGGCATTACTAGCACATGGTGAGTGCTATAAAATATCTATTAAGGGGCACCTGGGTGGCTCAGTCTGTTAAGCGTCTGACTTCGCTCATGCTCATGTCCTGATCTCACGGTTGGAGCCCGAATTGGCTCCGCTCAGACAGATTCTCTGTCTCTCCCCACTCTGCCCCTCCCCGACTTGTGTGCAGTCGTGTGCTCTCTCTCTCTCTCTCTCAAAAATAAACTTAAAAATAAAATAAAGTGCCTATTAAACAAATATATGTAATGGTATTCCCTGCACAGAATCAAATGGAAACTTTTTCACGGCCCCCCTCTGCCTCCTGCTTCCTCACCAATCTCTCCCTTGCTAGCCTTACTCCAGGAGTCCAGCTACCTCCTAGACTTAGCACATGCCATACTCTCTTCCTTCAACACTCTTCCCAGACCCACTCCTTTTCATCTGACCAACTTCAACTCCTCCTTCACATCTTAGCTTAGATGTTGCTTCTTTCTATCTCCCAGGACCTCCTACAAGGAGCTGAGATTCCTTCATTTGACTCTTTTCTAGCTATAATGTTTATTACAATTGTAATCACTGCTAAAATGTTTTAAGCTTTTTAATATCTGCCTCCCTTACTGGGCTGTAAATTCTCCCAGGGCAGGGGCTTATAGGGGTCTCCTATGCACTGCCTGTTAAGGAACTTGGACAGGGTGGGTCCCTAATGGACTGACCATTGCCCAATGAACGTATAAAACCTTCTTAATACTGTCATTTAGGTAACTGGCCCAAGGTGACACAGCTGCTGTAATACTCGAACCCACGACATGCCAGCTTTGAAGCTCAAGGTCTGACTATCCCTTCCTTTCCCTCAAAGCAGGAGCCAGAAGGCAAGTGGTCTGTCTGGGAAGTGAATTTAAGGAACTGCAGGTCTATTTGCAGAGGGCCACACGCGGCAAGGAGCGCGGCGCCTTGAGCGCTGGCCTCGGGCCCAGGAGAGGGGGCACCCGTCACGTGTACCCGGCTGGGCTCGCAGCCGCCGCACCCGGAGGCTGGAATGCGGCCCCGCCCGCTCCCGCGCCAGCAAAACCGCGCTCTCCCAGCGGACTGACGTCAATGAAGGGGGAGCCTCCGGGCGCCGCGCTAGGGCGGCCGAGGGAGGAGGGAAGGGGCCCCGGCGGACACGCCCCTCGCCGCTACTCCGCTGCTGATTGGACCCGGGGAATCTTCGCACTCGGGTTTCGGGGCCGGCGAAGGGAAGGAGGCGGAGCCTGAACACGCCCCTCGCTGCTCTGTTGCTGATGATTGGCCCACAGAGTCTCCGCGTTCGATTTTGGAAGGCTCTCTCCGGAGCTCTCACCAGGGCTTGGCCGAGGATTGGCTCTTCCCCGGCTGGGGAGCGTTTTCTCCCGGGAGTCGCGGCTGTGACCTAGGTGGCCCGCCTTGGGCAGCCAGGTACGTAGGTCGGCGGCCCCGCTCGCGCTGCGGTAGGAGCGGGCGGGCTGGCCGTCAGAGCCCGGGTGCCGCTGGGACCCGAACCCGCAGGGCCACTTTAGGGCACGGCATTGTGTGAAGCGGCCACGTCTGAGCCCCGGGGACCGATCTGTGCCGGGGGTTTCGCCCAGCGATCTGGGCCAGGATATCCCCTCCCAAGCTCTCGTCCTGTGGGCGAACGCCGCCCGGTCCTTGTGAGCACCTTCACAGCAGGAAGCGCAGAGCTACGCCCGCCCTTTCGAAAGGCCGTGAAGGGTTTGGGGTGGGCACATCTTAGCTTGCCCCATCCCGATTTGAGGTCTGTCGACGCTGCCCTTCAGCGTGGTGAGTAATCGCTCCCACTCCCCGCGGGGCCGCGGAGTGCTGAGGGCGCCGAGGCTGCCTTGGGAGATCTTTCAATCCCTGCGCCTTCCGAAACCGCAGAAGCAGATAGCAGGCTCGAGAGGTTTCAGAGCCTCCTGGGTCATTCCTTCCCCCGAAGACCTCGTCAGCCATCTGGCAGGAACAAAAATAAGAGTGGTTGAGAGCCTGGGCGCTGGGATCATATACTACCTGGGTATATCATCAGTTACCTCCTGTTTGACTTTGGGCAAGTTACTTAACCTTTCTGAGCTCGGGTTTCTCATCTGTAAAATGGGTATAACCAGAGTGCCCCTCGTAGGAGTGAGGATTAAAGAGATTACCTATTTGAAAATGATGTTCTGTGCTTGACACAAAGCAAGCTGCCTCAATGGCAGCCGTGACTTAAAAGTCCACAGATGAATCCATCTCCCTTTACCCTCTTTCCCCAGAGTGTAGTCCCCTTTTGAGGGAGTTTCATGAAAATGAAAATGGTTCTATACTGTCTGGTTGTTAAACAGCCTTTCCCTTAACATCACTCATTCATGGTATAATGTACCGAGATGGACGCTTGCACGTACTTTTATCTCCCTTATTCCCTTGAGGGTTATTTGTTCTCACTCTTCTCACTATTTTAATGATGAGCAAAATGAGTCAGGGGAAACGGGCTTGCCAACGTCACTCGGTTATCAGTGGCACAGCCAGAATTCAGGGTTCTTGAACCACTGAAAAGAGTTACTGCTAGATCTAGAGTTTCTCTTCTGGTCATATCTGGGAACTGGTCTGGGGGTAGGTCCCCGTTCCCTTTTCCACGTCCACATTAGGTTTGGAGACCTAACGTGTGCAGAACGTGTGCAGTTGTCTCAGGCGCTCCTGGCCGGGGCTAGGCCCTAAAGGGCCGGGGCTCACACTGCCATGTGGACTGGACCTCCCACTGGAAGAGCCACAGATTTTGGCAGCTGTCCAGGGTCAGGGAAGCAGTCCAGGGCCACAAGTGTTGATTTGGGCCTTGGGCCAGAGCCTCCAGTTCTTCTTCCAAGAGGCCCTTTGCCTCCGATTACAGATTATTAGCATCACCAGAGTTATCTGAAGGAGGTGAGCTGAGCGTGGAAGCAGTTGCCCCCCGGCTCACACAAAGTGTGCTCTGCCTGTTGTGGATACCTGTGCCTCCCTGAGACCAGTCAGAATAGCTGTCTGAACTGAGCTTCATATACCACAAAAGATGCTCAATTGCGCACTACATATGTTGCAAATTCATTGCGTGGTGAGTCACTTTTTAAATATATGTCTTTGTTAAAGCTCTATAGTTCATTTATTGCCTATTTCAAAGCAAGTTGAACTTTGTCATTTTCAACATTTGGTATTTACTTTGGGGGTTCATTTTTTAAGCTGGCTTGTGTCAAATTGCAATTTGCAAATGAGTTTTTACTCATTTGCTTACAGACCCATGTTTATATTCTTTCATATCAACTCTGGAATGAAAGATCCATTTGTAATCTTTTAATAGCCCTGTGGTGTCATTTTCTAGTGTAGAAAAGTACCATGGTTCAAGCATACACTGACTTTCCTGGATTCAGGTCTTATCTAAGAAATTGGGGGGAGGGGGGAAATCACACATTGAATAAGATAGGAAATGTTTTTTCTGGGGAGGCTGGCTGGCTCAGTCAGTAGAGCAAGCCACTCTTGATCTCAGGGTTGAAAGTTCGAGCCCCACATTGGGTGTAGAGATTACTTAAATATAAAATCTTTGGGGTGCCTGGGTGGCTTATTTGGTTAAGTGTTGAGCTCTTGATTTCAGCTCAGGTCATGATGTCACGGTTCCTGGGATCAAGCCCCACGTCGGGCTCTGCACTGACGGTGTGGAGCCTTCTTGGGATTCTCTCTCTCTCCCTCTCTCTCTGCCCCTCCCTCTCTCATGCTCTCTTTCTCTCTCTCTCAAAATAAATAAAAATAAACTTAAAAAAAGAGAGAGGTTAGGATTCCTTTAAAAAAATAAAATAAAATCTTTAAAAAAGTAGGGGCGCCTGGGTGGCTCAGTCAGTTAAGTGTATAAGTAAAAATAAAATCTTTTTTAAAAGTTCCTTTTGATAATAAAAGTTCTGACTCAGTTTTCCCCAAGTTTACATCTAATCCTATGTGAAATACATGGATTTTTATTCCCAGTCTCACTGCTGGCTGAATCCCAGGGTGGGAGGCAGAGCCAAGAGTGAGGATCTCAAAATCTGGGGGTGCCAAGTCTCCCCACCCCACGGTGCATGGAGGGTACGGTGGAAACTGGCCCAGACTCACCCAGATGGTTTGTTGGTGTGTGTAACTCACTGTAACGTGGAGGCTAAAGGCTGGAGGCAGGGCCTTGTAGGCCCTTGCAGCCTGGCAGAGGTGGCCGGGGCCATCTGGGAAGTCAGGCTCCAAGCCATCCCTGAGGCCGCTGCTGCTTCATCCTGTTGCCATTTTCCCTGAAGGGAGGGTAAGAGGGCCTGAGTCTGAGAGAAGCAGGATCGCCCCTTGTCCCACCACACAGACCAGAGGAGGAGTCTGCCCCGGGCTACGCCACAGCCAGCCTGGGTCACTGGAGTGCTTTACAGCAGTGATCTCTCTGCCTTCTCCCACGCCCTAACCCCACATCCCACAGCGGCAAAACAGTGTGTTGTCTCCATGGAAGATTGAGGAGGGCAGAAAAGGGGAACTATTGGTTGGGGAATTTCCTGGCACCTGATATTAGCCAGACCTGTCCACACATGGCCTTGGCAGACAAGCAAATCCAACTGCTGCTTCTGTACAGACCTAGTCTCCCCAGAATCAGGGACTCTGCACACGCCCTCTGAGAGCATAATCATCCTGTTCTTCTTACAGATGTAGAGGGAAACCGAGGCCCATGGAGGTGACGTGAAGTGCCTGAGGCCCCTTGGCCGCTGAGTGGCAGAACTAGGGCCCGGACGTAGTCCTCTGACTCATGAGCCAGTACTCTGTGCACTGGGCTGGGTTGCAGTTCCAGATTTCTTTTGTGGGAGCTGGGGATCTTCCTCTTCAGGGTGCCGCAGGTTAAGGCTAGAACAGCTGGTCAAACAGTAAACAGCTCTGACGTTAACAAAAAGATCAAAATAAATTCTACCACCCCGCCCCTGCCTCGTGTGCATGTGTTCATTGTTCTTCCTTTCCCACTGGAGGTTTCCTCCTTTGTGAATCAGGTAAGAACAGTGAGACACCCCCACAGGAGCGATGGGAAGAAATACGCTCTGAGCTGCTTGGCTGTGAAGGCAGCTGTGGTTTTCGTACACGGTTGCAGTCCCCTTACACCAGGTCCTGACCTTGGCTGAGCCACCGGAATTTCATCTGTATCTTGCCTTCCTTTGCCCCACTGTGCGCTGGGGTGAGGGTAACAGCGTCCACTCCTAGAATGCTTTTGAGGATCAGATGATATCATGCATATTGCCACGTTGCCTGGTGCAGAGTAAATGCCCCATAGTTAGCTTTTTTCCTTTATCAGCCTGACAGTGTTACTTGGTGACTGTTTTCTGGTCACAGTGTATTTTTATTATCCAGCTCAGGGGATTTAATTACCACACATACAAGGTTGTTAACTGGATTCCATAATAGTGCCCAAGGAGAGGTAGATTTTAAAATTCCCATTTCCAGATAAAAAGCACAATTTTTATGAAATTAATTTACCTGAAAATCTTCTACAGGTTTTAGTTATTAAATCTTTTGAAGAGAGTGAGGTTCTAATAGGCCTAGACACTGGGACAGGGGGAGTGTGGAAATTACTGGAATGAGGAGGGTGGCTGTTGAGGTGAGGAGGGAAAGCCAGGGAAAGGGAGGGCCAGTTACATTTGAGGAGTCTAAACGGGATGGAGAGATGGTTCAAACTCTCAGGAGAGTAAAGGCAGGTGCCAGCCAGGGCCACTCTGCAAGCAGGCTGAGCACTGGAAGCTGGGAACGCGTTTTTTATGATTTCCATTCTGTGTAGGTTTGTCACGGTGAGCATGGACTTTTTGTGTTTAAATGCTTTAATTTTTGCTCCCCCCGCCCCCTTTTAAGCTAGTGTCAAAAGGGCAGTGGGTGGGCATTTCGTTTATTTGGCTCTTATCAGATACCTGATACCACACTAGACTCATTCAATCCTTACAACAATCCTGGGAAGCGGTTATGAGCCCCATTTTACAGCTGAGCAAAGAGGCTCAGAGAGGTTGGGTAACTTGCCTAGGGTCATACCTAAGAAGGTGGCAGGGCTGGGATTCAAGCCCAGTTCTGTGTTGTGCCAGAGTCCTTGGTCCTCCTTGTCTCTAGTCTGCCTTCCAATCTCATAACTTTTTCAGGCTGTACTAGACAAGGGTAGGGTGAGTGAGCCTCTTATGCCTTTATTATTCAAGGTGGAACTCTCTCGAACTGAGGAAGACCATTTAATTTTCATTTTCGGCAAGGTGGGGGAGGACTTGGACATAAGTCTTCCTTTTAATTAAACTTCTAAGATTTCAGCCTCTGCCCATGGTTGTATATTCTAACCCTGTAGCTGCGTCTTCATCCCTACGTTCCTCTCCATGGCCTTTTGGACTACAGTTAGATCTGACTGGTCTGTTTCATACTGTGTTTGTTAAACTGTACGGACTTGGTTTGTCTCTGAGGGTCTTGAAAATAGGTGGGATGACTGTTCTCAATTTTACAGATGGAAAAGCAGAATAGTAGAACACTGAACACTGTTCTTAACGCTGCCTTCACTCAGTCCTCACTGCAACTCAGGCCAAAATTGGTATCGTTTGAGAAGTTTACACAGGAAGCAGCTGAGCCAGTAAGTGGCGGAGGTGGCTATAAGTGGGATTCCAGCCTGGGTAGCCCAACGTCATACCCCTTTCTCACTTCTGTGCTAAGAGCCTGGGCCTTGGCATCAGCAGTATCTGGATCTGTCCTTCAGTTTCTTCATTTGTGAAACGAGGGTACAGCCCCTACCGCATATGGCTGTCGTGCTCACATTTCAATGACGTGACGTGACTACGACTCTTACAGCGGTGCCCAGTACATGTGAAATGCTCGACACATTTCCGTGGCTGCTGCTGCGTCGTCCTTACGACCTGGATGTCCTGGGGTCTGCCTGGGCTTTAGAACCACAGACCTGGGTGCTACTCCTGGCTCTGCACTTAACCAAGGCTTCGTGTCTGTGGAAGGATCGTTTCAACTGAGCTGTACTTCATCTGCACGGTGGGGATAAACAAGTCTTACTTCACTGGTTGCCGGGCCTCTTCAGGGAGGTAGTACATGTGTCGCACTCATAAGCACTTTATAATAAAGTCTGGCTATCCTTATGCATATAATTTCCCCCAGGTGCCCTGGCAATTGGAGTGATTTTAAGTCAAGACTTACTGCACAGACTTACTGGAGAACAGAAACACCAGAAGCCCTTGTATCCATCAGGACCCCAGGTTTGGGAAGGGCCTGCTGAGCTGATGCCTCTCCGTGCTTTCCTTCCCCAGAGCACCCAGGATGGGAACGCCTGCCTCTGTGGTGAGCGAGCCGCCCCCCTGGCAGGCCCCGGCTGAGGCCCGGGGCCGCAAGCAGGCCACAGCCAACATCTTCCAGGACGCCGAGCTGCTGCAGATCCAGGGCCTGTTTCAGCGCAGTGGGGACCAGCTGGCCGAAGAGCGGGCACAGATCATCTGGGAGTGTGCGGGAGACCACCGTGTGGCAGAGGCCTTGAGGAGGCTGCGTAGGAAGAGGCCCCCCCGGCCAAAACCCCTGGGCCACTCACTGCACCACTGCAGCCGGCTCAGGTGGGTTCCTGGAACTGGAGGCCTGAGGGAAGGGGGGCACTACTGATGCTCCTTCCACCATTTTCTGGCTGTATGACCTGGAGCTACTGACTTGGCCTCACCGTCAAGTATCTGCCATCCCGGGGGGGGGGGCCGGGGGGGAGGTACACAGTGCCTACGATTGCTGTTACTGTTGGAGTCCTGTAGGATCTTGTGAACTTCCACAGAAGGGAATGCCTGGGTCCTATCAGTGCCACCTCATTTTGCAGTGATTCTCAGCCAAGTGGGAGGGACTATTGTTTGGGAGGAAAAAAACGTGTTTCCCTGTTGCAGAAGAGGTAACAAATCAAGAGTAAACCTGGTTAAGATCTTGCCTGTGGAATTACAGAGAATATAGCGTAGGAAGGTTCGGTAGAGGCACTGAGGGTTAAAAATTGTTGAGGAACTTCCAACTTCCCCTAGTCATCCCCCTCTTTGCCTAGGTCACTGACAGCCTAGGAACAGCGAGCCCCACAGGGTTGAGCGGAGCCACACAGCCTAGCCAATCACTGTGGGTTACACTCTGCCCTCTGCCCTCCATTCTTCCCGCTGCCTTCTCAGGCCCCAGAGTCAGAATATTAGTCCTGGATAGGTCTTCCGAGTCATCAGGTCCAGGGGGAGCAAATCAGCCTCTTGCTCATATGAACTTTAGCTGACTTGCAATCCCAATTTAAAACATCTTGCTAAGGAGGATTCTTGGTTCCTCCAGTCTCGTATCACGGCTGACTAATGATGGCTGCCACAAGTACAGCATGAAGCTGGAGAAAGGCTGAGTTGTCACACACCCCGATCTAGTCCAGCTCTCTTTACAGAAAAGAAATCTGAAAGCTTTGCCTAGTCTTTAGCAATCAGGGGGGCAGACGAGTCCAGAGCCCCAGTCTCATTTTGCCCCAAACGGTGTGTTTAGTTCATCCTGACCAAAATCTCTTTAGCCTGCATTTTGTTCTTCCTATTGATTTGGGCCTATCACACACTTGTTCCCTGCAGAATCCCCGAGCCCCGTGCTCCACTGGCCGACCCACAGAGTGGTGCCACAGAGATGGCCTCTGGCAATCAGTATCTGAACTCCAGGAGGACAAGTGCCAGGATCCGCCGGAACTGGAAGAAGCCAGGCCCCACAAGCTACCTCCATCAGATCAGACACTGATCCAGGGAAGGGGCTGGGAACGGCAGTAACTTCCCCAGGAATCACAGGGACTTTTGCCAAAGGGCCCAGGAAGTGAAGAAGGAAGACAGACTGGAGGCAGACAGCCCCACAGTGGTAAATGGAAGGCCACTACCACTGGCCTGCTCCGTTCAGAACAGGACTGGAGGTGTCCCCTGAGCTCTACACCATGTGGGACCCATTCCTGCCTCAGCTCTTCCCACCCGACAGTATACTCGGGCTGCATGATATTCCCCTGGGAGTCCAGCGATGGGCACGGAGACTGAGCATCTCACCACTCCTGCTACTAACCCTCCTGCTACTACTGTAACCCATGGTCCAGCCACCTGCCCACACCCCTGCCTGTCAGGCTAGTGCGAGGAAACCGTGGTTTAAGTGGCAAAATAAAAACATTTGCATCAAGAACTGTGTGAGTCTGTCACAGAAAGGGAGGCTTCTTCAATGGACATTCTGGAGCCAGGGGGTAAGGGCTTGCACTTATTGCAGGGAAGGGGTGTTCCCGGGAAGGAGAAAATAGGCCAGGCCTCCTTTTCCCCCGAGAGCAACACCCACCACCCCCCATCCCCTAGATCCTCTGTGCTAAAGCCTCCGTTTCCAGAGATCGGGAGATGGAAGCATTTCCGTAGGCAGTCCTGATCCACAGGAGAGAGAGGGTTCTTGGCCTCTGGCCAGTTCTAGAAGGGGAAAGACTATTCCAGTCCGCCTTGCACAGTGGGCAGTGAGCCTGCAAAGGAGTGGCTGCCAGCTCCTCAGATGGCATCTTTATCCCCATGGGCCAACCATCCTGAGGTGGGTCAACAGTTGGACCAATCGTTCTTGAGCCTCCAGCATTATCTGAGATTCCCTGTGGCCTGATAACCTTTAAGGGGAGGATTTTTGACTACTTCTACTGGCTTCACCTCAACAGCATATTATGTGCTCATTAGCATTCACCTCTGTTTCCCAGGCATCCTATCTGTCCCATTACCCACCCTTTAAAGGACCCAGGGTTCAAAGTGCTTCAAGCAGGCAGTGATGCGCACAAAGGATACGCTGCCCTCTTGTGGCCAAGAAGAGAAGCAGAGCGCATTCCTCATCCCAAACCCATAGGGCTAGAGGATTTTGTTACTCAGAATTTTTTCAGCTTGTAGGAAGTACTCAGTGCAAATACTGCATAATCCCTAGTAGGGAAATATCTCATAACAAAACATGAGTATTTCTGCAACAAATACACTAAGAGGAAAACATCATGGTTACAAATAGCTTCAATTCACACCAGTGTAGGGTCAGGTCAGGTTTTGGTATCAAATGAGTCAATGAAAATATTTCTGGTTTTTAGAGCACTGGGACCTTGGAAATGAGGACCTGTATAACTTTGGGGCTGTATCTCAGCGATTCCATGGAAACACATGGTTCTTTGTCCTTAAAACTGCATTCTACCTTGTCTTCCTTTCACCCAAGAAAACTAGACAAAAAAGGTCAGAATTGGACTTGTTATTCATACATTTGCATTGATTTAAATACATTACATACAAGTTCTACAGTGCGTTGGAAGAACACAGGCAGCAGTACTCTTCCAGCCCGGCCTCTCCTCCCTGACATGGGGACAGGGCCTGCGGCTGACAGAGGGCCCGGCTGTTCTGTGAGTGCCGCCCAGAAGCCTGCCCTGGCACTTTGAGGCTCCTGGCTCTCCCTAGTCCACATTCAAGGCAACCTGAGTCCAGGCTTCAAGGAGAATGGAAACATGCCAGGAAAGGATGGCCCACGCTCCCGCCTGCCAGGACTGGGGCCAGCCCCCTCGTACGTTGGATTCGATTTCCTTCTCATCACAGAGCTGGTCTAGATGAGGGCGATGTGCAGACCTACTTGCACAGGCTGGCTTCCCCCAGCCTCCTCTAAGACAGCTTAGGCTCTCTCGACGCCCAGGTGGGAAGCTTTACCGACAGGTTTGTGGAGAGAGATCTTTGGAGAGCCAAGCACACCTGGGTCCCTTCTGGCCTCTGGGAGCCCTGCTGCTCCTACAGTCTGGGGGCAGGCACTGTCACAAACATGGTCCCCAAGGTTAGATTCCAGGCCAGCTGAATGAGATTGTCAGGGTTAGGAGCTGTGCCTTTGTCCACAGGGCATGCGTACCCAGCTCCCAGAGACTCCTCCTGTCAGCTGGGGGGCCCCCCCCGGCACAAGCTGGACCCTGGGGGCTAGGATGCAAAGGGACCAGCTTGGCCCAGCTGACGAGAGGGCTGCACATCTCTGCTCTGCCTCCTGGGCAGTGGGAGCTGGGCAGGCAGAGGGCACGCAGCCATAGTCCTCGCTCCCTTTCTTTGGTTGTTTTTCAAACCTTCAAGATCGTTTCTTTCCAAGACTGATTGACCAATCGCAGGGTGCCAGAATCTTGAAGTGTCCAGTAGCACAGAACTGCCCCTTAGCCACAGATGGCACCCTCTCTACTCTCTCCTGAGGCCATTCTTTGCTTTGGTGTAGAAAGGGCTCGGACACCTGGCAAGGGGGACAGCTGAGGGAAAAGAGACAGGGAAGCAGGAAGATGCACATTGAACTGGGCAGGCTCTAGGGGACAGTTTGAAGGCCCTTCTCCTTTGGGCCCTGCCTTTCTCAAGAAGCCATGGAAAAACTGGCCTAGAACAAGAAGTCAGGGAGCAAAGGGAAGCTGCCAACTAGGAAGAGAATATGAGTCCCATTACCTCCGCCAAGCAGCAGCAGTGGTAGCATAAAAAGAAGTCCAGGGACCTAATATCCTGTCCTCCTATGAGCTGAGATGCATCCCAGAATCCTCATTGAGACCCATTCCAGAACCCAAAATTGAACCCCCTGAGGGAAAAGTGTCGAGAAAAAAAAATATCTGAAACAACAGAAACAAATAAGAGGACCGGGGTGTCTGTCACCAAGACTGGGGAAGCAAGGCTGGGATGTTTGCCCACAGACCAGTTACGGCCCCCGGCATGTACTCAGGCCAAATGGATGGCTTGTGCATACTGGGGGAGCCGCTTCTGCCCTCTTGCCTTTGCCTGAATGACGGGCAAACTGCAAGCCTGGACTAGAGACACTGTGTCCCTAGAAGGGCAGAGAGCAGAGCCAATCTCTACAATCATATGCACAACCACTAAGAGTTCTGGAGCAAAAGTGTCCCCGCTGCGAGAACTGGGTTGGGAGGCTTTCAGTCACCCTATTGCACTGGTGGGAGAAGGGGAAGAAAACTTGGCAAAAACCCAAAGGAAAGGTGTGGCTTCTGTCTGTCCCAACTGGTGAGTCACCCAGTTGCCCTCTGAATCACCCAGCTGCCTTGGTCCATGGGAGTAAGGAACTGTGAGGCACCTGAGCTTCTGGGTCCATGCAAATTTAGGTCTGGATCAGAGGTTTCTGACCTAAGAGGATCTGGGAATCTGCCTCGGTTTTGCTACTAATATTTAAATGTGTATTTGTCTGTCTGTTTTCTGATGCAGAATATAATGAGGAATTGCCACAGAGCAGGGTGTCAGGGAGGGAAGGGAATTTCCCAGCCTGCCCCAGGGGATGCTGGAAGGGAGCTGCTCCTTCCTGGGCATCTGGACTACCTGCGCGGAGGCTCCAGCCCTCCCTAGCACTCAGAAGGGCCCACAGGCACACACTGTCCCTCTGATTGTGCTTCTCCCTGTGCTTGGGAAAGCCCTGAGGGGGGTGACGAGCAGAGAAGAAGGGCTCTCAAGGGCACTGCTCTCCACCGGCTTCTCAGGCTTTTCCTGCAACCCACCCCCAGGCTTCCTCCCAGCCCGAGTCTCGAACAGTAGGTCTCTGTCTGACTCTCAGGCTACCACCATGAAAAGAAGGGCTTCCGACTCTGAAAGCTCTGTGTGTAGGACTCGCTAGAAGACCGCTGGTGGGAACGGGCCGTCTCGACAATCACGGGTGGCATCTGGACAAGGTGCAGGGGACTCTTGTTGTCTTTCAGGGCCTGGGTCAGATTTAGGATCTGCAGTAGGAAAAATAAGAGCAGTGAGGAAAAGACCAAGGCATCCTGGTCTGCCTCTGAAGAGAGACCTGCTGATAGAGTGCTCCCATAAATCAATACAAAAATAAACAACACATAAATGAAAAACTATACACCTAGGGTATTTCCAGAAGTAGGAATATAAACGGGCAAAATACGAAAAATGGAAACCTCTCCAGTCATTTAAAAAATACAAATTAAAACAAAAACCTCCCATTTTTTCTCCTTCCCATTAGTAAGGATACAGAAGAAGAAGATGCCTCAGAGGTGGGGACAGTTCAGAGCCAAGCTGTGGGGCTGGACCCTGGGCCAGTTTTTCAGAAAGGGAAGCAGACGGTAAAGGCTTAAGAGTGAACAGGCCCTCTGACTCAGCAATTCCACTTTTAGGAACTAAAGAAACAATCATGGATAGGCACAAAACACTTAGTTTCAACTAATACAGTGCAGTATTGTTTTTAGCGGTAAAAATGGTATAAATGCCTCAGAGTATGGGAACAGTTAATAATGTAAGGGCTAAGAAACAGCAATTAAAAGATAGATTTTATTGACATGGAAAGCTGATCACAATGTCATTAGATAGCAAAGGACCGAGACAGGAGCCAGTATTATGATGTAAAGACTCTACCTTCATTTTCTAAAATTCTATCTACCTATCTGCAGAGAAAAAAATTCTGGAACTTGGCACTGATTATCTCTGGGTCAAGGAATTATAGGTGATTTTTATTTGTTCATGGTTGTTTATACTTATTTTCTGATTTTCCTACAAAGACCATATATTTGGGAAAAAGCCAACATTTCAGTTGGCTTCTCCCTCTACTGCTATCTTTTTTTTTTTTTTTTAAGGTTATTTATTTATTTTGAGGGAGACAGAGCACGAGCAGGAGAGGGGCAGAGGGAGAGAGAGAGAGACTCCCCAGCAGGCTCCGCACTGTCAGCGCAGAGCCCAACATGAGGCTCGATCTCACAAACCATGAGATCATGACCTGAGCCAAGATCAAGAGTCAGGTGCTTAACTGACTAAACCCCCAGGCACCCCTAATGCTGTCTCTTTATCATCGTTTTTGTGAGTCTTTTTGAGTAAAATTTTTACTTTGGAATAACTTTAGACTTACAGAAAAGTTACAAAGATAGTACAGAGAGTTCCTGTACACCATTTACCAGTTTTTCCTAATGTTAAATTTTTATAGAACTACGGCACATTTACCAAAACTAAGAAATTAACAGTGGAACATTACTATTAACCAAACGCCAGACTTAATTTGGATTTCATTAGCTTTTCCAGTACAGTTCTTTTTTGATTTCAGGATCCCATTCAGGATACAACATAGCTCTTTACCAACTTTAGTCTGTTTTTTACAGATATTTCAGAAATGTGTCCATGGGGACACGTTTGCCAAAATTAGAATCACCACCATCTATCTTCTCTGATAGGAGAGTACAAAAG